GATGCCGAGATGAAAATACACGCGTCCCTGACACTCGCGTCTAATCTCGGCTGATCGAAGGAAAGCTTAACGCTTTACGCACCAATGCGCTGATGCTAGTGACGGGCTCGAAGAGGTGAGTCGAGGCGGTCTCGCCGATCAGTCCTTTCTTCGCGGCGCTATTATTAATTAAAAACTGCGTTTTCAGTCAGCCGGCACTCGCTTCACTCGGCTCTCCGGTAATAAGTCGCGCGATTCGATCGCGAGTGGACCGTCCAATCGCGTATCTGCGCTACTTCAAATCCAAGTGTGTTATTTCAGGCGAGTCTCTTCTTACTTGTTTCTCACCGTTTAAAGTCACGTTATTTGACACGTGTTTGAACGATTTAAATTATAATTATACATACGTTTCTGAAACGTGTGAGACGAGCTTCAACTAGATTACACGTCTATGCATTTAAAAGTGACACCCACTTGGAGTTGCGGTGCAGAGAGCGTACCTTGCATGGCTCCGGCCCAACACAGCCAAAAGAGGGCCCATTTCGCGGTGCGAAATCTCTGCAGGTAGAGCGGCCTGAACCAGAACCAACCGCACTTGAGATTGTCCGCGGTCCTATCCGTCTCCTTCAGAATTTCCGGCTTTATTTCCGGCTTCCTCGGCCCGTCCCCGAACTGTTCTGGGAAGCTAGACAGGGTCTCGTGCATGTCCGGCACTCCCGACTGCAAATTATACCCACAGCGAGAGATCATTGGTTATTGGTTATCAGTTACGCTCGTGAGATAAAGCAATCTTGCGTAGAGTTCGCTCCATCTCGAATCAACACAAAAACTATGAGGACCCGCACTGAGAAAAACATGTTTGAGTATTTATAACTATTATCATAATAGAAAAGTAATTAAATTGTGATCAAGAAAACTACTTTTTATAAAATTCTTCTATAATGTGAGTGATAACAACCTCATATGTACGTTACTATTATCATTTTTGTGTTAGAATAGTAAAAAATAACGATACTTTTAGTTAAGCCGTGCTCTGGATCTTTTTTGACCCAGAGCAGTTTGAAAGTTCACACAGTTTTTGTAATATTCTAAATACAAACGTGATACTTTGCAACTTTTCGAGTTATTTTAGAAAAAGTCAGTATATATTGTACTAGATTACTTTACATAATGCTAAAATAAAAGATATAAAAAATACATATATGTCAATTAAATAGTGAGTTGTCACTATTGGGCCTATTTAGACCCTGAATATGGTCAAAGTATACCCGAAACGGACACGGTTAGAAGGTTAAATCAACCTTTTCTCTCGGTGCGAGTCGAAATTTCAACTCTGCTTTTGATATAAACTGTCCAACATCTATATATTTTAAGGAATGTTTCAACGTATGTTTAATACATATGAAAACTGAAGTCGTATTCAACGCCTGTAAATAGCAGAAAACACACGAAATGCCACTTATAGTTCTGAAGAGGAAATGCCACTTAGAGTTCTCTCGGCTTTAGTCAAATAAATGCTCTGGTTGAATAGAATCAAAAGTGGTCGATGTAAACTTCATAGTACAAAAGTAGGCGTTAAATTGAGGTCGAACGTAGAATAAAAATTCCGACTCACGAACACTTTGAGAAGTACGTATAGACTGAACGACAGAGTCGCAAAGCGGCGGTAGAATATAACAAGCTCACGATGCGCTATGCGAAATGACGTGATAGATTACAAAAAATGAAAAAAAAACAATATACAATCCGTGACCTGTAGTCTTGAAGTCATTGGCGCGTTTCGTTCTAGATGTCGCAAGGTATACACAAACAGAAATTGCTCATTTGTCTCATTTGACATCAACGATTAATGCTTTGCAAGGAGAGTGAGAGAAATATGAGAGGCGGATTTCACTGGAGGTATTACAAGAGTGTCGTGTTTATCGGCTATACAAAGAACTACGTCTACTATGTCTATACGAAGTCTATAAATTATTAAAAGGGATAGAATGTACTACTGTAATAGGTGGGGACTAGGTCAGCCGAATGAGGGGAATTTATAAGGAGGAAACGAGAATTCGATATTTCTCTCTTCATTTCCAATTATGTAAGATAACAATATCAATGTCTGGGCATTCTCGTTTTGGCCTTTAAATAAGAAAATTTCAATTTTTAACACAGAAGATGTGTATGGTGAGAGGAAAAAGATTTAAAAAATAAAAAAATAAGGGTGAAACTTTCAGTCAGGGAACTCCATCATTCGTGCTAATAACGTATTTACTTATAATTAATATAAGATATTTTTCCAAATAAGAAAATATATATTTTCTTAAAATCTTGACTTTTTTCATAAAAGTAATTGTTCATTCTGTTTAAAATAAAAGAATTCAGGTTTAAATATTTTTTCACTTTTTAGATTCTTTTTCTCTCTTAGTGTATACACGTATACACGATATGTACATGTATATTTTACATGGAAAAAAGTTCAAGATTCATAATTAAACATCAAAACAACAAGAACATGAAGAAGCGACGCGTTAGGTATGTGTCCAGGCATTAGACTCTTACCTTACTTGTCAAACAATCTCCCATGGATTGTGAAAGAAAAAAAAAGAAACGCAGGAGTCAACCATAATAGTGACATGAACGATACTCACGCTGAACGCAAATTTGTCCCTCATAATTGCCGATACTTTTCCTAAGACGCACGCGACGGAGATCTATCGGTGTTATTTCCACTAGGCTTTCAGACGATCGCGAATATTCTCCTCGCCAATTTCCGGCGGAGATCGATCTCCGCGCGTAAATTTAATAAATACCGGCACGTCGCACTTGTGTGTGTGCGTCCCGCGAAATGTTTCGCCTGTGTTAATCCATGGCGTCGCACGTAGATCACTGCGAGCTTTTGTCGGCTCCAGCTGAGCAGAATTACCGCGGGATTTTGCCGGAGGGAAAAGTCAGCGCGATTGAGAGAAAGAGCGGCGGACTCTCAGTCAGGGAACTCCACTTCATCGCTCGTTAGAGATAGAGAGTCAAACACGACATTCTTATCGCGCAGTCCTGAACTTTTCAATGCCGGTGAATTCGTTTCTGGTACTCCTCTCACTCGATAACGAATATTATTGTCCGCGAGGCGCCCTTACTTCTACTTTCCGTCTCGCACCTTCTTTCCTCCACCCCTTTCTCCCTCCTACCCGTCCGGCCGCCCTCCCGCCCTTCGTTCACCTTTCACGCCGGTGTTTTTTGCTCGCGCGAGGCTTTAATTGCGATTTTCTCGGCCGGCGAGGACACGCCGGCGGAATGTAAATCGTTTCATCAAATCGCGCTGCGAGGATCTCGTTTCGTCTCATTGACTTCGTGAAATTGATTCCGCGGAATCGAGAGTCGCGTTTGGCTCCCCGGCGCTCTCATTGCGCGATCTCTCGCGATCGACCACGATCTCAACGAGTTCGATACCGGTGCCGCATCGTCCTCGGCGTTTCGCGCGACACGCCACCCTCGAGGCAACTCCCTCCCCTCGTCTTGATCTTAATTACAATCCGAGGCGCGCTTTCGTGCCGCGCCGATTCAATCCGCGGAGACGCGATTGCGCGAAATGCTTAATAACCTGCGCGGCCGGCGACTCAATTCCACGCACACATGCCCGCAGTAACACCGTGCTGGGAGAAAAAAAGGAAAAGAAGAGAAAAAATGAAAGAAAGAGAAGCGTGTGTCTCGTATCTCGCTGCTCTCGAAGTCGGCGTGAACCGATAACGAGCGCTCCTCGTTAATTAGACGCGCGAGAGTTCATGAGAGCGCGTCACGTCCGGAGCTCTTGCTTTCGTCTCGTGCGATGACAGTGTCGCATCGGAATCGGAGCCGAGGTCGAGGTTCATGGACCGTGGCGACCGGGAGCGCGCGTCGCACGCGACTGAAGTCCGCACCCGCGCTCGAGCTCTCGCGCACCCGCTCTTACAGTTTTCCCCGTGAGTTAAAACGCGGTAGTACACATACCACCACCGGCAAGCACCACCACCACCGTTGCCACTACCAGCACCACTACCACCACCACCTCTATCTCCACCTCCTCCTCCTCCTCCTCCTCCACCATCACTACCACCACCGGTGGCTTTTATTGCTACAGCAGACGTGGCCTCTCTCTTTCCTTTCTCTCTCTCTCTCTCTTCTTCCTCCTTCTCTCTCTCTCCTTTTCTATCATCCCGCGTTTTCCCGTTCTCTCTTATCAATCGTTCGCCTTCCACCCACGTAGACCCCGCGCTCTTCTTCCTCCGTTCTTCCTCAGAGCATTCCACCCTCCTGATCGTGTCGCTATAAACCGCCTCCACTAGCTGTTGCTTCGCCGCCAAGACGAACAAGCCACCCCGATTCCGCCCGTCATTTAAATGTGATCAAGTTTATTGGCTCCGGCGCGAGCCAGGAATTTATGCATCTCGCGTAATAATGCCAAGTTCCTCCTTGGAAGCGCCGGCGGATCGCAGCAATAAGCGTTTGCGCGCGGTGTACGCGCGTTCGCGCTAATTAACGAGCACTCGTTATTGGTTACGCACGCTCACTGTGCTTCAAAGGCAGATACACAGGGTGCTTTCCATTCTCGAACGTCGCTGCTGTTATTGTCAGTAGTAATTGTCGTTTAACCTCACGGGAGAGCGATAGATAATGGACAGATAATGGATAGAACGAACGCGCGCGTCGACTTACCGAAGGTATTGATAGGTAAAAGCCATTCACCGAATCACATCACGTGTCACGTAGTTTTATTCGGGGCTGCGCCATAAATTCAGCGCGGATAATTAATGACATTTAAGGAATCGATAATCGTCGCATCCGCCAAGAAATCACCGCGCTCGAGGCGAGTCGTGAGAGCGTTTTGATGGAATTATCGCTTCGATCGCGGGCGTATCGCAGCCGGTATTGCGTGAAACTGAAACTTTTACGATTTACCGTCTATAAAATTCCTTCCCTGTATGATTATATTTTACACGATCGGCGGCTTGTCTAGCTGATAGCATCTTTCATCATCTAAGATATCAAGTGTAAATAAGATACTCAGATATTACGGAAAACAGATAACAAAAGTGCTTAACGTGACGTGAAATATTCACGGAAACTGCGGTACACTCTCGGCGAAAGGAGGAACGGAAAAGCGACGCGGCGGACGTTGATTAGGAAAGTTTCATTATTCTCGCGGAAACATCCGAAATTCCACGGGCGCATGGAAGATGGAAAACGAGCGGAAGACGGGCGTAGGTCAGGTCGGATATCAAACACCGTGGACGCGGTTGGATTTATGGTCGCAATAACCGCCGGCACGCAGAGGCGAAAAGATCGAAATAAATCACTATGATAATATCGTTGCGTAAAGTGCCCGTCGCGAAACACAGATGATCGAGCGGGAATGTCGTTGCCCTCGAAAAATTTACAAACTCTCGAATTCGCCGATCAGCCTGTTATTCACTGATAATTATTAACCCTTCTCCGCGTACAATCATATTTCCGAGTCGCAATTTTAGTCTCATTTTCGATCGAAACTTTCTTTAACATCTTTATATCCTAAAAGAATCAGTGTATGCTCTTAACGCACTTGAAAACTGAAGTCTTATTTAGCGCCTCTAAGTGGTAGAAAACACAAGACGCCACATTTGAACTTTCTAAGTTTCTTGGAGCGAAATCTCACGCGAAGTAAGTAAAAAGTGTGGCAGTGTCTTTGTTCACAACGATAGTGAAAATACTGTCACTCGAAATAGCAAGGCTGAATATTTTACTTAAGCTTGGAGTGGACTCTGATTCGACATGAGCGAAGACTTCGATCGATTACAACGAACATATCCCTGTGACGGTGCAGCAGATTCTTTCTTCAATTTTAAGTAGAAATATTCGTTCGACGATTCAGAGTGGAGAATTTGTCCTATATAAGTGAAAAGTCACTCGAATTCAGCGGTCATTCTACTTTTTTAGTGAAATTTCACTCCAAAAAATTTACAGATTAGATTCTAAAAAGAACTTGTCGGCATAATTAGTAGGTTAAATAGAATAAATAAATAGGCATCTTCAAAATAAATATTAAATGAAATATTGAGGTGTCGAAAATAGGATCAAAATTTCGACTCGGGTTTCTTGAGACATACTCTGATTCGAAGTTTTGATTCTATACTTTCGATTTCTGAACTTTTTAACATATATACATTTCATAGGGTCAGTGTATGTTTAATAAATGAAAGTCCTACTTAGTGCCTCTAAATAGCTTAATACGCTTAAAATGCCACTTGTTGGTTCTAAAGAGAACCTCTCGGTAAAGTTAATAAATTTAATGGAATGAAAAGAAAACAATATAATCTAACCTAACAATATAACAATATAACAATATAGGCTTCAGAGTATCAAAATAGTTAAATGGAATATTGAAGTCGAAAATATAGAACCACAGTTTCAACTGCGGGCAATGCAATCTCTCTGTCAGACCCGGCCAATTTTAAAATACCATATAACTTTGTTGAAAACCAATATTTCTGGACACATTTTTTTCCAGAGATATAGGAAATCCAAATCTGAATTTTAGCTCTATTTTCACCTTGAACCTTTTAATATCTATATATTTTGCAAGATCTGTGTATATTTAAAACACATGGAGACTGAAGTTCAACTTAGCGCTTATAAATGACAGAAAACGCACAAAATGCCGTTATATCATATGCTAAATAAAATAAAAAAAGGTTGATGTAGGCTTCAGGATTTCAAAGTAGGCATTTAATGGAGCATTGAGATCGAAGATGGGATCAAAATATCTGCTCGGGAAGTCTCAGTTATAAGATAGTAGCGCAATGAAATGAAAATCTGCAAATAGATTTCCGGTATTTTGAAATTTCATCGGGCCTTTTACGAATGTCGATAAATGATCGAATAGATCGTTTGAGTCTCACGGATCCACCACTGTACGCGGAGGAGTTAAAACGACGAGAAGCCCAAGAACGAACGGCGACATGGTACGCAAAATCGCATAGACCGGACAGTTTTAATCGCAAAACCATGCGAATGAGCGAGGAACGGAAAGAGTCCGTCCGCGGAGAGGCAGCTATTTACCGCATCAAATTAAATATCACGTCCATTTGCCTCGCGGACTCGTGATTACTCGCTCGGTGAGAGCGAGCGAGCGAGCGAGCGAATGAGCGGCGCGTCGGTGAAAATAAAAAAGGATTGTCACATTACGTTTGATACATACAAATATACATACATATATACATACACGTGTGTACGGGGGCGCGCGCGTTACACAATGGGAACGGCCAAAGCAAACCGGGATCGCGCGCACGTTGCAGACAGGGCGAGGGATGAAGGGAGAGGATAAATATCCCCTTTCGGGGACCATCGCGGCACACGTTTCACGAGCCACGCGACCGCTTCGACATAAATTTCGTGGATTTAATAAAGATTCATGGCTTCCGCTTGCAGAGCGGAGAGAGCCGCCACGTTGTAGTGTCACGGACTTGCTCGTCGAAAAGACGGCGAGCGGACGTCGTCTCTTACGCGATCCTTCCACCCCATAGGCGTCGGATTTTCCAAAATCTGTCGTACTGCGAAACACGTTACTTTCACTCGTCGCGATTTCGAACGGGTTCTTACGAGGTCGCAACGACGTTAACGCACATGTATACATATATACATCGTACAACATGATTACCGAGAAGATATCTGATAATATCAGTATATTCATCTCATATAGTCAAAAAAGGACTTGGTTTGCAATTATATTCCTTAACTACACACATCCATCCATTCCTTATTTCTACCTATTTAGTTACTAATATCCCTACAGTTATATGGCCTCCCTCTAATTGACTTTACAGTATATCATTTTCGTTACTTAAATCCCCCTTATAATCTCTTCTTGCAATCTTCTTAACTTTTACTTAATCTTTATACCTTTTCCCTATTTATCATGTCTAATTATTTTCCTATTTTATATATACTCAAAATGTAGGTACTATATCGTCCTCATACATAACATTCCAAACTCTGTCCTTCCTTTCAGAAAAGACAGTCGCACACTCATTCATCTTTCCTCTTCCTATCCGATCTCTTTACTATTCCCCTTATTTCTTCCTTATCTTCTTTTCCTCTAGTTTTCTTCCATATCTTGTTAGTTTCATTATTCCACTCTATATTTCCTACTAGCTTCATGAAGTGATTCGTCTGCCTTTTTCTTCACTTCCTATACGTCTGCTTCAACTTGCACTGTCAAGAAGAAGTTTTTCATATGCTACAACCTTCCTCTTATTCTTTGCTCTTCAATCTTCTTACTTGTACAACACCTGTCCCACTAGTCCTTGTGTCATCTTTCTTCCATATACTTTTATTTTACTTCTTTATTCCACTCGATGACTTTCTTTCTTTATTTCTCGTTTCTTATGACATCATAACTTCTATTATCTATGTACTATGTATGTTATTGTGTACTGTTTTCGCCTTGAATCCTTTCATATCTAACGTCTTGTTTGCACCATCTACGCGCTCATTTCTATATAATTTCCTCCCTTATACTTAATGTATTAAAATCATTGTAAACTCACGTACCACGTTAACCAAGCATCTATATACACAAACACACACATTCTCTCTCTCTCTCTCTCTCTCTCTCTCTCTTGTATGCCATCTAAGCAAATCCCAGATATCGGATAGTAAACGAGACCGATTTTTTTGGAAGAGAAAGAAAAGGTAAGCGCGGGATGAATGTTTTTGCATTGTGCAATTTTTTATTCGCACACGGTATACGACATCGCGACGCCAATGACAGTAGACAAACAACGGCTCGTGTCGATGCTCGAGGGCGTGGGCGAGTTCAAGCGAGTTACACGGCGGAGACTCAAAGGAAGCTTTTAATAATTTTCTAATTTGTTGTCCGAAGCGCAAGGCGATCTTCATAACGCTAGGCGACTGCAACTTCCTTTTCTCTCTTTTTATATATTTATTTTTTCTGTTTTCATTTTTATCGAGTCTCGGATGGTCACTAACCTAAGGCTGGAAAGTTGC